GCTGTAGCTCAGTGGTAAAGTCCATGCCTTGCATGTGTGAGGCACTGGGTTTGATTCTCAGCACCATGTAAAAATAAAATAAAGATATTGTGTATCCATCTACAACTAAGAAAAAAATTAAAAAAAAAATTTACTTCCTTTTATTCCGTCTATAATGCTCTGCCTTTCTTTATGCAGATTCAAATATTTGACATATTATTTTCTTTCTTTCTGAAGATTTAACATTTCTTGCAAAGTAGGTCTACTGGCAACAAATTCCCTCCATTTTTGTTAAAATCTTTATTTTTTTTTCACTTTTGAAAGATAATTCTCTGTATAAAGAATTCTTGTTTTTTTCCTTTCAGCATTTTAAATATTTCACTCTACTCTCTTCATGCTTCCTGAAGTCCAATTTAATTCTTGCTCCTCTATACAATTTTTTTTTCCCTTCTAGCTTCCAAGATTTTCTGTATGTAGGTCTAAACCTAGTATTTGATGTTGTTGTTTCCTCTTCAGTTTTTAATTTTTATTACTGGCTACATTTTAGGTGTTCAATAGCCGCGTGTGGCTAGGATCTTCCGAATTGGAGAACCAGGTCTTGACAATAGAGAAAAAGGGTCCAGTCTAGACCTCTTGCAGTGAGTGGCCCACAGAGGAAAGCATCTGTTAGGACTCTGCCTGAGAGTGTGCCTATCTATTCCCTGCTTCTGTTCATGCCACTCTCCCCTTACTAAGTGCTTCCCTTCTGTGCCTTCAGGTTACCTCTGTCTCTTACCCTTATTTCTCTGGTTTAACTTAGGTCCCATCTACTTAAACACCTTCTTTGGAAGGAAAGGATAATGTTTTACTTCTCCCCTTTAATTTAGCAAACATGAACTGGGGCTGCTATCACGATGCAAAGATCCTTCACATCACCAGGACAGTACTGAGCTGCATTCTTATACTTTGCAGACTATATATCACATCTGGTAATTTAAAAAAATGTTACTAAGACTGTATATATAGTGCTTTTAGCATTTTATTATTGTTAATATAAGAAAATTAAAAACAAAGATAACTTGCTAGCATGTCATAAATAAAAAGACATTGGGCTGGGGATGTGGCTCAAGTGGTAACACGCTCGCCGGGCTGTGCGAGGCTCTGGGTTCGATCCTCAGCACCACATAAAAATAAAGATGTTGTATCCACTGAAAACTGAACAATAAATATTAAAAAATTCTCTTCTCTCTCTTTAAAAAAAATAAAATAAAAAGACATTGTAATAGTGCTTCCCTTTCTCCTTGAAAAGGAAGAAACTGATGTTTTGCCTCTTTTTTCCCCTCATTTGGGTCTGGAAGATGAAACTGTCTCTGACCTTTAACAAAATACATTCTGTATGTAGGTCTAAACCTAGTATTTATTGATGTTGTTTCCTCTTCAGTTTTTAATTTTTATTACTGTTTCTTCCTCCTATCATATGGCCTTTACTAGTTAGGTGACCTTTGGCAAGTTATTCGGCCTCTCTGGTTTATGTTTACTGTCTTATAAAATTTCTGTAAGGATTGGGTAAATTAACACACATATCTATTGTTCAAGGCTGGTATGCTCTGGAGTACACTGGCTGAAGATGGTTTTGGCATAAGGTTGAGATTTTGATGGGTTAGAAATGAAGTGAGACAGGAATACTGTAGTGTTCCTTATTTGAATAAGTGTCCCTTACTCAAGATCCCTGGTGGAGGCCTGAAGCTGTAATGACTAAACCCTATAAATTACTGTTTTCCATATATATATATATATATATATATATATATATATATATATATGATTTCATTTAATTTATAAATTAGAAAGAGTATAGGGGATTAACCATAATAACTAAAAATAGGATAATTATAATACACTAAAAAGTTATGTTTCAAAATATTTTATTGTACTGTAGATCTTAGAACCTCAACTTAAATTTTTTCTTTTCTATTAAGTCAAGAACTTAAGTATTTTATGGCTTATTTTTAGCATGTCCAAATTGTCAATATCACTATTATTTCATTTTGGGGCCATCACTAAGTAAGATAAGTGTTATTTGAACATAAGCTTTGCAATACCTTAACAGTCAATCTGATAATTGAGACAGCTACCAAGTGGCTAACAGATAGGCAGTATATACAGTATGGATCTGTTGGACAATGGGATGACTCAGGTAGTACAGAGTGGGACAAGAGGAGATTTCATCATGCTACTCAGAACAGTGTGCAATTTAAAACTTATGAATTATATTGGAATTTTACATTCATTATTTTTGGACTGTGGTTGAACATGAGTAACTGAAATTAAGAAAAGAGAAACCAAAGATTAGGTAGGGACTGCTATATAAGAACAAAAAGCCTCCTAGCCTCTAAATTCTGCCCCGAGCACTGCATTCTGCTGTTTCACTCTACAGGCTCTTGCTGTCATTCAAAAGGAGAATCTGTCCATAAAAAGACTGGCAATCAATCAAACCTGCTATAAAGAACAAAATGGAGAGCTGGACACAGTAGTGCATTCCTGTAATCCCAGTGGCTCAGGAGACTGAGGCAGAAGGATCACAAGTTCAAGGCCAACCTCAGCAACTTAGTGAGATCCCATCTCAAAATAAAAATAAAGGACTGGGGTTGTGGCTCAATGTTAGAGCGCCTGCCTAGCATGTGTGAGGCAAGTCTCAGCACCACATATAAATAAATAAAAAAATAAAGGTTCATCAACAACTAATAAAAATATTTAAAAAAATAAATAAAAAGAGCTGGGGATGTGGCTCAGTGGTAAAGTGCTTCTATACCACAAAAAACCCCAAAACCAAAAACCCTTTTATAAGAACATGGGTACTGAGATGTAGCAACAAGTCTTCAACTCTAAAGAGGCAGAGGAAAAATGTTAAAACATTTATCATAAGAAACCTTGAGGGGCCTGAGAAGCCCCTGCATACCCATGGCCGTTCAACTGTGAGGTACAAATGATACTTAATAGCCTAAAGCACCAAGCCGAGAACCTGAACTCACCTTGGCACATCTCTTAATGTGGCAGACCCCGAGCCAAGAATGAAAAACTGACCTCACGAGTTTATTTCTGTTTTTTCTGTGGTTCAAGATTTTAACTTTTTTTGTATGGTGCTGGGGGTTAGAACCCAGGGCCTTGTGCATGCAAGACAAGTACTCTACCCACTGAGCTGTATCCCTAGCTCTCATGAATTTACTTTTAATTTAAAACACCGAAAAAAGAATCAGCTTTACTGTTGACAGGGGAAACATGAGGCCTGACAGGCTTATTATCTGTGCACAAAGGGGAAAGATTAAGGAATATTGCCTTGTTATTCTTGCCGCATCAAGCCTGTCTATGCTATTATGATCAGGATGAGACTAATTTTAAATACGCATTAATTAGAGCCCTATAAGCTTTACACAAACACACTCTTATAAAGTAATCCTAGCTATTATTCTAAAAGTCTTACTAAAAATTGGGTCATTTAGTCTATCTATCCTTACCACAACCCAACAATATATGACTACCATCAAAATCTCTTGTGATAATAAGATTTATCTCAACATTAACAGAAACAAACACCAAGCCCCATTTGACTTCACAGGAAAATCAGAACTTGTGTCAGGCTTTAACACAGAATATGCTGCAGGCCCTTTCACCCTTTTTATTAGCTGAGTGTACCATTATTATTATGATAAATGCTTTAACAACAATTTTTTTTTTCTACGAGTACTTTATAGCCCCCTAATACCTGAAACCTTTACTCTAGATTTTATTACTAAAACTAATCCTGGGGCTGGGGCTCAGTAGCAGAGCTCTTGCCTAGCATGTGTGAGGCACTGGGTTCGATTCTCAGCACCACATATTAATAAATAAAAAAAAACTTAAAGGTCCATTGACAACTAAAAATAAAACAAAACAAAAAACCAAAAAACTAATCCTGACCTCAGTATTCCCATGAATTCAAGAATCTTACCCTAATTCTGATATGATCAACTTCTATACTTAGTTTGAAAAATTTCTTTTACCTTACACTCCAGCCTTATAACATTATCTTTATGCTTATTATAAGAAGCATTCTCCACAAACTGACAAATGAGTTACTTTGAGTAAATCATGAGGTTCAAATCCTCATATTTCTAGAACTATTGGACTTGAACCTAATCCTAAGAATCCCAAATTCTCCCTGCAATCTAGTATACCACGGTTTTCTAGAAAGGTCAGTAAATAAGCTATCTGGCCCACAATCTAAAAACGTTCTTTATTGTTTAGGTACTAATTAACCCCCTAACCTCCTCTACTATTATATTTATTCTCAGGAACTATAATTGCCCTGCTTAGTTCTTATTGACTTCTCATCTGAGTAAGACTAGAAATAAGTCCGAGAGAGAGAGAGAGAGAGAGAGAGAGAGAGAGAGAGAGAGAGAGCGCGCGCGCGCGCGCGCGCGCGAGCGAGCATACACAAATATATACACTTTTTTTTTTTTTTGTAATGGGATTGAACCCAGGGGTGCTAAACCACTGAGCTACATCTCCACTCCTTTTTATTTTTTGAGACAGGGTCTCACTAAGTTGTTTAGGGCCTCGCTAAATAGCTGAGGCTGCCCTTGAATTGCCATCCTCCTGCCTCAGCCTCCTGAGTCCCTGGAACTACAGGAGTGCACTGCCGTCGTGCACTGCGGGAATAAGCACACCGGCTCTTATTCCCATCCTAATTAATAACGGAAATCCACGATCCACAGAAGCTGCCTCCTCGCATTTTTCTCAGCCAAGCAATTGCATCAACAAGCCTAACAGCACTCTAATTACTAATCTCCTAGACTCAGGACGATGGACCCTGGCTACCAGGTCAGCCGACTTGCAGCCTGCAGCGAACCGAACCTGGCTGTTTACACGCCACACAACCTAGACTGATGGCTTCTCTTCAAAGGCCGTAGGGGCCACGGACTGCGGCTGACAGCGGCTTCCTCCTGCGGCCCAGCCTTCCGCCGTCCGGGCTCTCACCGATGGCAGAACGCCCGTTTCTGTACCTGCACCGGGAGCACCGCGGCCAGCCGGCTTCCGCGCGGTGGAAGGGCGGCCTGGGAGGCAGCTTTCGCCTGAGCTCCGCGCAGAGCGGCGGGTGAGCGAGGCCCGGAGCCCCGCTTTCCGCGCTGCGGGCCGGCGCGGGCCCCTGCGCTGCCCCCGCCCCCGCCCCCCGGCCGCCGCGCTCCCCGTCGCGGGCCCCGCGCCCTCCGAGCCCGGCCCCGGGCGCCGAGAGGCGTGGCCGCCCGCAGCACGGGCGGCGGCCATGGCCTCGGTGGTGGAGTACAAGGGGCTCAAGGCCGGCTACCACTGCGGCTACTGCGACTCCGAGGAGGGCAAGGCGTCCTGCGGTGAGTGCCTCGTCCATCCGGCCGCCTCGCGCCCAACGCTCGCCGGCCTCCGCCGCGCTCCGGCGGCCCCTGGCGGGGGGAGCGGCTCCGGCTCCCCGCTGCCGCTGGCCTCTTCCCAGCCGTTTCCACTCGCTCTCCATCTCTCCGCTTCACCCTCACGAACGACCGCGGCGCCTCACGGAGAAGGAACGGAAATAGCGGAAAGCTGCCCTCGGTCAAGATGGCGCGGGCGGCGTCAGCCCCCCAGGCGCCCGGCCGCGTCGGGCCTGCGGGTGCCCAAGTGGCTTCGCGCGAGCCTCGGAGGCTCCTGGGCGGCGCGCTGCATTGTGGGGTGGCGGCGACGGCGGCGGCGTTTGGCCGGGCCGCGCAGTGCTTGTGGGGCCGAGGCCATGGCTTCCTGGAACGCGTTGTCGCCTAGCATCGTAGAGTATTTCGAGGGCGAGGACTTCTATCGCTGCGGCTATTGCAAGAACGAGTCGGGCAGTCGCTCCAATGGTGAGCGAGGCGGAAGCGGGAGGCCGAGCGCCGCGGCCCGGGGTTCTGGCGGACCTGTCTGGGGGACGCGGGGCGGCCGGGCCCCTGACCAGCTCCTGGCCGGCCTTGGGCCGCGGCCCCCCGGGGCTGTGGCTGTCAGTTACGTCTGACGCCGTCAGCCTCGGCCGCGAAGCTGCTTGGTGCGCGTCCCGGGAAACTCCAGGCAGCCCCTGCCCGCCAGACGGGCGGGGACGGGCTCGCCCTCGCCTAGCCCGGACGCCCGTCTGCGGGGCCGGGCGCGCTGAGCTGCAGCTGGGACCCGCTCCTCGGAGCGTGCAAACGGGGTGCGGGGCAGGCTGGGGCCTGGTGCGGCGCGCGGCGCGGCAGGTGTGTGCACTCCCTTGCAGCCTCCCTGGTGGCGCCTGGGTGCGACGCCTGGGGCCCGTGGCTGCGGCCAGGACGGCGGGGGCGTTCGCCTGGGTGTTTGACACTTTGCCCGGGACGCGTGCTGTGTCATTCCTCCACCCACCCGGGCGAGGACACCCAAGTCAGTCCGCTGTCTTGTCCTTCTTCGTGACTCAGGTCTCTCGGGGAAGGCACCAACCATCCTGTTTATTTTCTGCCGTGTCGGGCAGACGCCATGATCCAGGGAATAACTGAGCACTGTAGAAACGGGACAGCATTTAAAAGGAGGGTTAAAGGGAGAAAACCGGATGCCAAAGGCATATGTGACATGACAGCTCTGAGAGGAGAAGCACAGCAAATAGTGGCAGTGGTTGCCTTCGAGTGATAGAGGTTCCATCCTTCTCTTTCTTGAGGATTTTTGTATTGTGACTCTAATATCTATATCATCAGTAAGTTATATTAAACATACCTAAAATTAATATTTTGCTAGGGCCTTAGTTATTTCCCAGTAATTTTAGTAAGAGAAAATTGGCCAGGATAAATGTCTATTTCAAGTTTTGTGGAAGAAACCTGCCTTCAACCTTTTCATCTAGAGACATCAGTATACATTTCTATCATTTCTATTTTAGTTTACCCATTACTGTAGGGCACATATTTGTTGTGTTGGTGGGCATGATTATTCCCATTTTACAGAGGATGGAAATAGAGGTTACAGAGAAACATTCTGGTATTAGTGAGGGCCTGCTAGGTGTCTGGACATTTTTGCTGGGCTTGTGTACCATGCTTTTTCCTGCTTCACTTTGCTCTGTCAGGCCTATCTCTATTTTGATATATCTCTGGTACAGTTTACTATTCACAAAAGGAAAAAATCCACTTCTCTTTTTTTTTTTGAGACAGGATCTCATTATGTTGCCCAGACTGGTCTGGATTTTGCAGTCCTCTTGCCTCAGCTGGTATTATTGGCTCCACCATACCCTGCTCCCCATTTCTCTCTCTCTTTCCCTCCTTTTTTTCCTTTTTGGTACTGGGGATTGAGATTGAACCTAGAAGCACTTTGTCACTGAACCACATCCCCAACTATTTTTAAAATTTTTATTTTGAGACAGGGTCTCCCTAAATTTCTTACGGCCTTGTTGAGGCTGGCCTCAAATTTGCGATCCTCTTGCCTCAGCCTCCCAAGTTGCTGAGATTACTGGCATACACCACCATGCCCAGCTCCATTTCTCTTTTAACCTTAGTTCGAATATACCTTTAAATGTTAGTTACTTTTCCCCCATAGTTTAATTTGATCATCTCATAGTTCCTGTAATCATCTCTTGGTATCCTCAGCATTTGGGTTAGTTTTTCACTTAAGAGAGAATATTGCTACATACTTTTGCCCTATTTTTAGTATTTAAGACTGTGCTGAGCTGTGTGTGTGTGTATATATAAATTAGAACTAATATGCACAATATTTTTTGCTGAATATTCTACAGAGACTAGTGTATTAAACCATTGGTGACATAATTAAAGTTTGGAGCTGTGTTCTAGTCTGATTGCAGTAAGGATCTAGATTTATGATGACATGGAGACCATTGACTAATCCTCAATTTGATGTCATTACTTTTATGTATTTTATTTTTTAATTAAAATAAATATATCTTATTTTTAATTTATGTTGCATATATGCCACACTAAGGAGTGTGAAGTATGCAGTATTTTTCTCCTGTGTGAGTGTTCTAGAATTTTAGCCTAAATGGCCATATTTTAAAAATTAACACTTTGAATTTTAACAGGAAGGAAGTTTAACCCTGCTGAATTTAACACGTCTTATTTTTTTCAGGCATGTGGGCACATTCTCTGACAGTACAGGATTATCAAGACCTTATAGATCGAGGATGGCGAAGGTAAAGTTTTTTAATACAAAGATACTTTCTGCTGTTTTTCAGGTACTTCTTATAAAAAGTTTGCCTTTAGAATATTTTCTTGTTAGAAAGAGGTTTAATAAGGTGTTTGTTCTTTTATGTAGTTATTTTGTTTTTAAAAAATATTAGGAAAATTTCAAGTAAACAGAGAAGTAGAGCCTCATGTATCTATCACTAAGCTTCAGAAGTTAGTAAAATTCTGCCAGTCTTGTTTCATCCATTCTCATCGATTCCTCTGTCTCCACTCTCAAAACACTTCACAGCAAATTACGCCTAAATTATTATTACAGATAGCATTTACATATACTCATAATAAATACTGTATATTTAAGAGGGAAGGGATTTTTTTCCTTTTTAACATACCTACAATACCTTTATCACACTTTATAAAATTCATAGTTCTTTCATTTTACCTTTCCCCAATCTAGATTTTCTAGATTGTCTCAAAATCTATTTTTTAAAAATTCCATTAAGGGTTACTCATTGTTTTTGTAGAGTAGTTGTTTTTAGAGATGATTTTTAAGTAACTTGTAGATAAAGTTTCTTATGTAAGTATAAGCAACATTAAGTAGTTTAAGTAATACATTCTCCAAAGACATGGGATTAAGCATATCAGTTAAAATGTTAATGACTTTAATTATGAAGTTCAAGAGGGAGGTTTAGGTCAGAAGTTGAGGATTTTTTATGCCATGATAAGGAACCTTATTATTTTTTAAGGTAGAGGGGAACCATGAAGAATTTTAAGAAACATACATGACGGAATTTGATTTGAATAAAAGCATTCAGATGGCAGAGAGGAGTTTAAGGAGGTGATCATGGAGGCAGGAAGCAGAAATTATTGCACTATCCAGATAGGAAATGACAAGGACTTGTGTGTTAATGGCAGTGGAGATGGAGGGGAAGAGGCACATTTTAGCTCTAGATGGCTTGTTGATAAGATACAGAGGTGAGTTAGAGGGGATAGTCTAAAAAGATCGACAGGTTTCTGGCTCGAGAACTGAATGAGTGGTTCTGCCATTGGCTGGGGTCTGGGATGCCTGGAGAGAGTTTAGTTTGTGGTATTTTATGCTTGTGATCATCCATGCCGGGGTTCACAGTGGTGGCGTCCATCAGTCCCACCTCATCACCAGTGGTTTTCTTTCATTGTCCTATGGTTTTGGGGTATTGGTGGTAGGCAAAGGCATTGAAGGGATGGGATGGCAGGTGCTGGTGAGAAGGTAATTGAGGCAGTTCACCTTGCTGTAAATATGTAAAGGTTTGAGAAGGAGAAGGCTGGCTTCTGGTGCTCGGTATACCTACTTGCAAGATGATTTTGGTTTTGAAGAGCAATTAAACCTAAATACGTTTTTATACTAATCACTAAAGTTTTACTCTTAATTTAGTGTTCTTGTACTAACCTGTTTTGGCCCATGTGAACAGTGTAAGAAATTAACAAACTTTTTATAATTTTAGAAGCGGGAAGTATGTGTATAAACCTGTCATGAATCAGACATGCTGTCCTCAGTATACAATAAGGTAAGGGGATCTATCATGGGAAGACTATGTGCTATTTTAAAGCAGAATCTTATGCTTTTTTATTATGAATTTAGGTAGATATTATAAGGAAAAACAAATGTCTTTTCGAATACTGATGCTATATTACTTATATGTTAACCAATAACTTTTAATAATAGCTTAATTGATCCTTACATAAATAAGATGTAAGAAAATGTTTCATTGCTTTATTTTTAGCATTCTAATTAGTGGATGCTGTGAATATTGGTAAATATTCAAAACACTTTTAGATACCAAATTTTTATAGGACTTAGCAGAGGAATCTCCATATTCTATTGTTGCTCCGCTGTGTTTATAGTCAGTCAAACCACGGGATCCTGCAGTAGTTAGGAGGGCATAACTCCACTCTGCCATATACAGAGCCTACTTTTCTTACAGGGAAGATTTAAACCAAAAAGTCTATTTCTTGATTTTTTTTCATAACCTTTTGGGCCCTTTTGGATCTTTTCCTATGTGCCCTCCCACCTCATTGCAACACAGAAGAATTTTTTTTCCTTTTCAGATTATAAAGGCCTTTTTTTGCCAGGTGTGGTGGCACATGCTCCTAATCCCCCTTGGGAGGCTGAGGCAGGAGGATCACAAATTCAGTCCTAGCCTCTGCAATTTAGTGCGAATCTTGTCTCAAAATGAAAAATAAAAGTCCTCCTCCCTGATCTTAGGACAAACAGGATTCATTTCTTCTCATCATAGGCAGAGTTATCTGTCCTTGAGCACACACCCACCACAGGACCGAAGTAATTCAGATTTTGAGGATGGCACCAAAATATCTAAGAAATGACTGTCTCACAAATTAACAAGTGAATTACAACTCCAGACAGAGAGCACCTGGAATGAAGCCTTTGAATCACCACTTGAAACCCCTGTTCCCCTTGATGGGCAGAATCACAGCCTCTGGGACAGGAGTCCCCTGTTTATCCTTTGCTAGAAAGCAGTAAAACTTCCTTTTTCCCTTTCATAAATAAATAAGTAAGTAAATAAAGGTCTGGGGATGTAACTTAGTGGTAGAGGTTCAATTCCTAGTACCAAAACAAACTTTTCTTTTTTGTAGAAAATATGAAACTGCTTTTGAGTATGTATTTGTCCTCAGTTTCAATGTGTAAATACGTTCTGGATTAAAAAAATCACAATTGTATCTCCCCATTTTTTGTCTGGTCTTTGCACCTGCCTCCCTTAATTGCTGTTAACTTGTTTTTGAGTTGTAGGCTATTTTGAGAATTTGGTGAAAGCCCAAACCCCTCTCTGTTTAAAGAAAAGCCTTGGGGGCATATAGACACAGATATATCACCTTCATGTCTTAATTTTAGGATAATTATGGACTCCCAATGGTCCACTGATTCCTAATGAAGAGTTTTCTCTTACCTAACTGGACATCAGATGGGCAGATGATAAAGAGAAAAGATTGGTGTGTGGTTTGCTGACACCGTCTCATTTATTCACATATAATAGAATACAGCATAGCTTTTGCCATCCTCTTTCAGCTTTCTTGGTTATGAGGAGATGACATCCTTCAAGGCAGAAGTCACTTTCTGGATTATGAACAAGATACCCTGAGGATTTTTATGATAAGAAAAAGGTGCTTTCAATTGGTTAAAGGGAAATTACCTAATTGTTACATGCAAAGCACTCTTTTAGGTGTATTGCATTTATGAGAAGAGATTGAGTTAACTGCCAAATGTGATTTTTGAATTTCACCTGGAATCAAACATTTCCTGAACTGAATTGTTGCTCTTTACAGAATTTCTTTATATACCTTAATCTTATGGAGTCATTATTCATACTTCCTATTTAGACTGTTTTGTTCATTGTGAAGTTACAATGAGAACTTAAGGAAGGGAAGTTAAATCTCACAACTTGTCTTTTTTTTTTTTTTTTGTATCAGGGATTGAACTCAGGGGCACTCAACCACTGAGCCACACCCTCAACCCTCTTTTGTATTTTATTTAGAGACCTGGTCTCACTGAGTTTCTAAGTGCCTCTCTAAGTTGCTGAGGCTGGCTTTGAACTCACCATCCTCCTGCCTTATCCTCTCAAGCTGCTGAGATTATAGGCATGCGCCCCTGTGCTCAGCTACAGTTTGTCTTTTTGATAGGCAGAGGTTAGGGATTGCCTGCCTAGCACATGAATTTAAAATTTTGTAAGCATTATACATGCTCATAAAGTCCAGATGGTCCCATAAAGCTTATTTTGGACTAGCAGTCCCTGAAACCCTCCTTTCCCTTTTTCTATTTCTCTGTGGCCGTCACTGTCAGCCCTTAGCTGATTCTTTTGTTTTTTACCTCCCTATCTTTTTAAGTGACATGCTTATTTAATTATAATACTGACATTTCCCCCCGGCCCCCATTTTTGCAGGGCCTCTCCCTATGAACAAGGATTTGGCTGTCTTACTGTTCCACTGCCACATTCAGGCTCCTTTTTCTTCTCACCCCCAGCCTCTCATCTTAGAAGTATGAAGATTTTGGATGGATGGATGGTTAGCAGCGTTATGAACATATAGATGTACTTCCCAGCTGAGCTGTGGGGCTTCTGTGACTGTTTCCTTGCTTTCCCTGGAGTTAACGGTTTTGTTGTTTGCAGAGTCTTCAGTGTACCTGTTCCCAGGTGTTTGAAACCCTCTCCGTGGTGTGCTTTTTCTCTTGTTTTTGTGTCTAGATGTGTTGCTAGTGCCCGCGTCGTCTTCTTCCTGACACTCTCCTGCCCTTCACGCTTGCTGCAGCGCCGTCATCCTGGATCTCTCGTCATCATCATCTAGGGGATGCTCGTTGGCTCCAAGTTGAATCTCCATTTCATCTATTTGCCTTCTTTCTTTGATTATTCCCTTGTTTTAGGGAAGCTCATCTTCTAAAGCTTCCTGAGAAAAAGTACATGAGAAAAATTTTTTTGAGACTTTGCATGTCTGAAAATGTTTTAATTAACTCCTCAGAAGGGCTTTTTAGTTCTGCTGCGTATGGATATGTAAGATGGGAGTAATTTTCCTCTGGAGTCTTCAAGGCTTTGCTCATTGTTGTGCTGTTGTTCAAAAGTCAGGTGGCATCTGATTCTCGTGCCTTTGTCTTTGGAAGATCTTTCATCCTTAGTGTTCTGATGTTACACAATTTGGCTGTGTGTGTGTTTTCGTCCATCGCACATGGCCTGGAGTGGGACCCTTCTGATCTGGGAAATCCTTTCATTCTTCAATTTGGGAAAATTTTCTTATATTATTTTGTTGATCTTCCTTCCTTTGTCTTTCTTTGAAGTGCCTTTATTCAGATGTTGGACCTTTTGGACTGGTCCTCTGACTTTTTTGGGAGTGTACTGGGGATTGAACCAAGGGGCATTTGACCATTGGATCACATCCCCAATTCTCTCTATTATTTATTTTGTGATAGGGTCTCACTAAGCTGTTTAGGGCCTTTTTAAGTTGCTGAGGTTGGCCTCAAACTTCAGATCCTCTTCCTTAGCCTCCCTAGTCTCTGGGATACTGGCATGCACCACCATGCCCTGCTTCTTTAATGTTTTTCTTTTCACTTTTCCATCTGTTTTTACTGAATTTTTTTGGAAATTTCCTTAACTTTATTTTCCAAGTCTTTACCTTAATTTTTATTTCTCTTACCAGTCCTTCCTTCTGAGGGTCTTTTATTTTGGCCCATTTTCTGTTTTGTGTTGGGGGGGATACCTGTTGCTCCATGGCTGTGGTAGCTAAAGAGAAATAGAGATTTCTGAGGAGTTTTTAAGGTTTTGCTGCTTAGTCTAAACCTCCTCGTTACTTTGTGCCACCTGTTGGATACCTATCTACACAGTAGCCGATGTCCTGGAGGATCTGATGACTTCAGGGTTCCAGTGTTACACTGGAAATTCTGTGCACCCCAGCGGGGCTTACTTTCTATGAGCCTCGGGTTTGTTGATCTGGCTGGGCTCTTCTGTTGGGGAACATGTGGTATGTCGTCAGGTCTGATCATACTTTGGAGAGAAAGAGTAACCCTCTGGTGTTCTGGGGCAGGGTTGGGAGCTCAGGATCAGGCTGTGGACCTCGTTTGAGCTTCTTGTTTTCAGTCAGTGTGCTGGCCGCAGCAGAGGGCCCTCCTCTGCCATCTCCTGAAAGTTACCTGTGTAGGGGGAAGTCAAGGGTGCAGAGGAGGGAGGGATCTGATGGCTGACTGCTTTGGAAATGGACTCTGAGGGAGCCCTTGAAAATCAGGGCTCGGCTTTCTTTGGTCACTGTCTGTCCTCAATGTACTTCTGCCTACCCTTCTGGCGTTCCTCCTCTTCTCTTTTTCAACTTTGGATTATGTGTTTTCCTTTCTCTTTTCCCCTTCCTCCTTCCCCCTCTTTCTCCTCCCTATAGCATTAATGAAATTTAGTGTGGAATTAGAGGCTCCTTAAGCCCCATCTTTAACCAGAATCCCATGTATAACATTGGCCTCAGTGTCCTTGGTACTACCCAGATTGATTTTGTTTCTTCAGAGTTTTAGTTTTCTTTAAAAATATTCGTTTTGCTTTTGTAGGTGCCGACCTTTACAGTTCCAGCCATCAAAATCTCACAAGAAAGTTTTGAAAAAAATGTTGAAATTTCTGGCTAAAGGGGAGATTTCCAAAGGAAATTGTGGGGGTAAGATGAAACCGGGTCTAAAATCTATTTACTTTAACATGACAACCTTTTCAGCGTTCCCACTTTGAAACACCTCCGGTTAGGTCAGGGAGTGGGGTTGCTGTAATCATGTACTATTGAGATGACAGGGACTACATTCTGCCATTCCAGTCACCCCCAGATCAAGGAAGGAGAGTTGAGCTTGGAGAGAAAATTGAGAGTCATTTTCTAAATGGTGTGACTTTCTGGAGTTTATTGAAATTTTCATTTTTTGAATGTTTTGACAACTCATCTTACTCAATTCCTATAATATGCTTATGAAGTCAGTGGAAAGTGAGCTGGGTGTATAGCTCAGTTGGTAAAATGTTTGCCTTGCATGCACAAAGCCCTGGGTTCAAACCCTAGCACCACACACACAAAAAACAAAAAAATGAAAAAGAAAGTGGCATTATGTCTAGAGAAATAGATATTTAGATACAGCCTATACAGGACTGCACTGTGTCTTTGCTGAGTAAGGGTTAGGTTTTCATTATTATTATTATTATTACTACCACCAGGGATTGAACTCAGGGGCACTTGACCAGTGAGCCACATCCCAGCCCTATTTTGTATTTTACTTATAGAGACAGGGTCTCACTGAGTTGCTTAGCACCTCATCTTTGCTTTGACTGGCTTTAAACTTGTGATTCTCCTGCCTCAGTCTCCCGAGCCATTGAGATTAAAGGTGTGCGCCACTGCACCTGGCAGGTTTTCTGTATTTGAATAAGGCTTTCCTTCAAGAAATTATGTTATCTAAAGTTCTTTTTTATTTATCTGATGAATTTTAAATTATGAGTGATTTTCCTAAGAGATGATTAGTAGCATTTAATTAACTTTGGTTTCAGATTCTTAACTTTTTCAGAGTTTTTAAACTTTTTCTTCTTCTTCTTTTTTGGTATTAAACTCAGGGGCATTTGACCACTTGAGCCACATCCCTAGCCCTATTTTGTAGTTTATTTTGAGACAGGGTCTCATTGAGTTGCTTAGTGTCTCACCATTGCTGAGGCTGGCTTTGAACTTGCGATCCTCCTGTTTCTGCCTCCGAACTGCTGTTTTTTCTTTTTTAACCTTTACAAAAGGTTTCTTGTTGGCAGTACCTAGAGCAAGAGTGTAAGAATTGGGAATGCTGTCTATTCTCAGCTCTTTTTCACAATTGCCATAGAAAACACTTAATCCTGAGAACCTCCTAGCTCGCTAATTCATTCCACAAGTATGATTTCCATCCTTGCACCACCCGTATCACTGCCTTATGCCCTGGAGATAGAGACCTGCATGAAAGGTTAAGTTTTTACCAGGCACAGCCCTGGGTGGACCAGGATTCAGGACAGTGTGGAGCAGACTTGGTAGAGCTATGGGCACGGAAGAGGCCAGAGGCTTAATTTTATAGGTTCAGTGCTGATTGGAACATTGGAAACATCAGAATTTTGGTGCATCTCTGATTAGTTTTACTGGTACATACTCTTCAAGTTTAAATAGATTTTTGTTTGCTAGTTAATATGCAGGGTTTTTTTTTTGAATCAGGGAATCATGTTCTAAGTTTCAAAAATTAACATGTAGATAAGCTTTGAGGATGCTGTCCCTTTGTAAATTGATGGTTGCATCTTTTTACATAGTTTTTGCATTTGGCTCTTTATTTGTCTTGTTTCGAGCTTCTAAATTATTTATGTCTGGAACTTAATTCAAGGAATGATGCACTCATTAGGGTAAAAGCCTAAACGGCTGTGACAAAAAGACACCAAAACCCAGTGGCTACACGGTGCCGGCAGTCGGTTTCTTCCTTCACGTCCATTGTGGTGTTCTGGGTAGAACTGGAGCTTTGCTCCCCCTTGGCCATTCTGGGACTCACTTCAACATTTGATTTCCCAGGTCACTCTGTTTTATTTAACCCAGCCAGAGAGATGGGTAAAGATAGAAGTCCTAGGTCACAGTTTTCCTTTAAGTGAGACAAAATTAGGTCTTTTGTTGTTGGGAATTTGGTCACAACTTGAAGAGTGATGGGCAGTGCCTTCTGTCGGGGCACCATGATTTCAAGGACAGCTCTCCTGCTTTGAAAGGAGGAGAATGGATTTGGTGGATACACAGTAGTTTCTCTATGCTGGAAATAGGGGCATTATAGTTCTGTGTTTATCTTGGCCATGTCAAATGACCCCAACCGATGGGCTTTCTTTTCTTCTGGCTTTTAGATGAGCCCATGGATTCCACAGTGGAGGATGCTGTTGCAGGTGACTTTGCATTAATAAATAAATTGGATATAAAGTGTGATCTTAAAACTCTCAGTGATGACCTCAAAGAGAGCTTAGAGAATGAAGAGATGAAGAAAGAAAAAAACTCAAAGAAGGAAGAATCAAATGAATCAATTCATTCACAAGCTATAGAAGAGAAGTTGGGCTCTGGTGAACCATCACATTCAATTAAAGTTCATACTGTTCCTAAGCCAGGTAATGAACATTTGATATCAAGTCATATTAACTGCTTTTCTTTTCACTTGAGTCACTGTGATGCTTGGCTTTCATGGCATCTGTAACATAGAGCCCTGTTTTATACTGGAAGAGACTACCTATATTTAGATGAACAAATCATGTCTCTTTAAACCATTGTGCTTAAAATCCTGAAATAATATCCTTATTTTCCCCAAATACAGACATTTCAAGAATTCTGTTTCATTACATTATAACCTTAGAGGCTTGAGAATTAGATTTTTGTTAATGAAAAGGTATGGTGAGGGCTGGGGTTCTGGCTCAATTGGTAGAGCACTCGCCTCAACGTGCGAGGAGGCCCTGGGTTCGATCCTCAGCACCGTGTGAAAACAAATAAATAAAGTAAAGGTATTGTGTCCATCTACAACTAAAAGAAAGAAAGAAAGAAAGAAAAGATATGGTGATAAAAAATAAACGGTTATTTTTAGAAAAATGAGATTATAGGTGTTATGTCCAAAATGCAGATATTTTGAAATTCTTAAGTTTATCATTCAAATTTTTAATACAGTTATAATTCATTTTCATTTAAAAAGTCTATTTTCATGCTTAATTTTAATAAGGTAAGACTTTTTCCTATGTTTTCATTTATAAAAAAAGTTAGGTTTAAAAAATTCACACACTAAAAAAAAAAAAATCACACACTATTAAATGGGTTTTTTACCTATATATGTATGACTTTTTCAAAATTATTTCATAAAATATGAAGTTAGATAGTTTTTGAATTAATTTCTATTCATTCAAAATGATGCCAGGAGTGATTCTTTTAGTATTAGAATTTTTTTTTTTTTGGTTCCAAATTATGTTATAGAAGTCTAAGTGCAGAGAACTTTCCAGTGGCACTTTTAAAATATTTTTTACATAAGTCATTCATGGGGGCTGGGGCTGGGGCTGTGGCTCAAGTGGTAGCGTGCTTGCCTGGCATGTGTGTGGCCTGGGTTCAAATCTCAGCACCACATACAAGGATGTTGTGTCCGCCAAAAACTAAAAAAAAAAAAAAAAAAAAAAAAAAGTCATTCATGATATTTAAATTGATGTTAGTCTAAGATTTCATCCTAATTAATAAAAATAGTCCAATGAAATATTATGTTTAGAGAATTTCTTTCAACCCTAATTCTTTTGTGTTGTACAGGGTCAGCTCTTTTATTTATTTATTTACTTATTTTGGTACCAGGGACTGAGCCACATCCCCAGCCCTGTTTTGTATTTTATTTAGAGACAGGGTCTCACTGAGTTGCTTAGCACCTCACTTTTGCTGAGGTTGGCTTTGAATTCATGATCGTCCTCCCTCAGCCTCCTGAGCCACTGGGATTACAGGTGTGTGCCACCATGCCTGGCTATTTATTTCTTCTTATAAATATTACTTATAGCTAGTTAAATTTCTAAAAAGTTTTTCATTACAGAGGATTTCAAACGTAGGCCAGTGTAGATAGAATAGTACAATGAACGTCATGTCCCCTGTCCTTGTTTGATATAGTTCTTTACTCATTACAGTCACTATGTTTTATCTCTGCCCAAATCTAGTTCCTCCTCCTAGTATCATACTGAAGCAAATTTTAGATACTATGCCATATTATTTAGAATTCATCTCTAAAAGATAAGAACTTGAAAAAAATGTATTCACAATACCATTATTACACCTAAGTAAAATTTCATAATGCCATTGAATATTCAGTGTTCAAAATTCCAGTTTTTAAATATTGGTTTGTCTCAAGAGTCAGATGATTCCAACACAACTGGTTGATGCATTTAAAAAAATCTTTTTTTGAACTGTAGGTTTCTCTTCTGTTGTTCCCCTTTGTTAACTTTCAGGTTATTACTTGTTGAAGAAAGTGAGTTGTTTTTCGTGGGTTGTTTGTCCCACTCTTTGTAACTTACTGATCATATCTGCAAATGCAGTTTAACTGTTCTTTGGCCACCTATAAATTGATAGTTGGATCTAGAACTTTTAACCAAGTTCAGGGCTAGTTTTCTTTTGTTCTTTTGAATGGGGGAAGTTTTAATCATCTTAGGATATTATTTATTTGAGGCTTGTTAAGGTTACTCTATGGGTCATTGAATTTCCTTTCAGAAGATATAAATGTCTGGGTGCCTCTCTCTTTTTTTTTTTAATATTTATTTAGTTGTAGATGAACGCGCACAATATCTTTATTTATTTTCATGTGGTGCTGAGAATCGAACGCAATGCCTTACACGTGTGAGGCCAGCACTCTACCGCTGAGCTACAGCCCCAGCCCCATGGCTGCCTCTCTTTTCTTAGTGTTAATAGTCATAGCTGCTCAGTACCTAAATCTGTTTATTAATTATATATTCTGATTCTGTCATTCATTCATTTATTCATCCACTGCCATCAGTGCTGTCAGGAATTGCCTCTAGAAATGTGGGTTAAACAAGCAGAAGATATTTGATTGGATATGTTCTTTCTACTTACAAAGGCAGAGAAATGGATGGTATTTTTAAGAGATTTTTCAATAGTAAGAACTGCCTTGAGAAGTTTCGGTGACACTTTCCTTTTTTTGGCAATTCTTGCTTTTGAGGTAGAATTGCAAGTTGAACCTAGAGCCTCTTCCCCAGAACTAACTTAACTGTTAGAACTCTTGGGACTGTGTAGAATTTTTGAGATTCTTGAAAAAACATTTTTAGAGCCAAGTGTGATTGGTCTAATATTTTGAAACTCTTTTTAGGCAAAGGGGCTGATTTGAGTAAGCCTCCATGTCGAAAAGCAAAGGAAATCCGGAAAGAAAGAAAAAGGTTAAAACTCATGCAGCAAAATCCAGCTGGAGAACATGAGGGTTTCCAGGCTCAAGGTCAGCCACCATCTTTGTTCCCACCAAAGGCTAAATCCAACCAGCCCAAATCACTTGAAGATTTAATTTTTGAATCTTTGCCAGAGAATGCGTCACACAAGTTAGAGGTATTTTGGAGGTTTTTTTATTTGTTGATGTTTGTTTGTTTTTGGGTACTTTATTTTCTTTGAAATTATTTGCCTATATTTTGATATTTTATATTATGAGAAATGAAGGAGAATTGGGGTTTACTAAGTTAGCTACTATTTGAGAGAAATATTCACTTCTTCAAAAAGAATTTTTGAAAATATTTGAGGCAACCAGCTACTAAAATTCTGAAAATTATTCCAGTTTTACCGTGTTGTTATGGTTTTTGTATCCTTTGAAATTAAGTAGTTAAAAAAAAAAGAAAAATACTCTTTAGAATTTCATTTTAGAAATTTAGATAGCAAAAGGTAGTTTAGATAGTAAGAGACTAGATCACACTAGGAAAATCACTGTTTTACCTGTTAGAGTATTCTGATCTGATGAAGACATCAATCAGTGTCATATATGCAAGCCAGCAGTTGGGAATCAACCAAGCAGTATTAAGTTACACTGAAAAATTCCTTGCTCGTTAAGTAGTCCCAATCAATTTAGGCATGATATGAATGTTTTAGAGCTAAAATTCTCTTTTTTTCCAAATTGACTTACATTTCTAGATCAATTTCAGATTTGTTAGTATTAATTTCACTTATATAAAATTCTCAGCTGAGCACAGTGGCATGTGCCTGTAATCCCAGTTGCTCTGGTGGCTGGGGGTGGGGCTGAGGCTGGAGGATTAAAAGTTTGAGCTAGCCTGGGCAACATAGAGAGACCTATCTCCAAGTACACAAATAGATAAAAATAAAAAAAATCTTCTCTAAGACATTTACTGTAATGATTTCATTATATATTCTCATACTTGATTAGTAACTAATCAGCCTTTGAATTTATAACTTAATATCATCTAAGAATATCACTTAATGTTTAACCTAATACTAAAGACTAGCTTTGATGCATTCTAAACCTTAGGGCAATATATGTATTATTAAACTTAAATTTTATTTTAATAACTTTGATTATTGTAACTCTGATTTTGGTATTGATTTTTCTCCACAAAATCAATTGTAAAGAGAGTTGAGTACACTACCTAAAATATTTTATAAAGAGACCTTATAAAGAGACTTTATCTTTTGATTATAAATAGTAATATATTCAGGGAATCAACCATACCTCATATAACAGTTCTATAAGCATAAACTTTTGCTTCTTTTTTTGTATTTGGAATGGAACCCAGGGCCGCACATACACAAGGCAAGCGCTCTGCCACTGAACGACATCCCCAGCCATTCATTCATTCATTCAGTTATTTATTTTTGTGGCACTAATGTTTGAACACAAGGGCCTTGCACATGCTAGGTAAGTGCTTTACCACTGAGCTACATCCTCAGTCCCCCCTCTCCACCTTTTAAACATTTTTTTTTTTTTTTTGAGATACCATCTCCAAAGTTACCCAGACTGGCTTCGAACTTTTGTTCCTCCTTCTTCAGCCTCCCAAGTAGCTGGGATTCCAAGTATGCACCACCACATCCAGCCCACTATTGCTTTTTTAGTGTCATGGGTCCCAGGATGTATAGAGATTGGTTATCCACTGGATGTCACTCTCTTCATGTAGGAATTACTTCTCATGGCACTCAAGAACAGTTATGGCTTTATTATATTGCATTTGATTTTGTTTTATTATTGTGCTTTGCTAATACTTTTAACTGGTTAGTAAATAATTAATGATAAAATATATATTAGCCATTACCATATTCAATTACTGCTTTTAATTCATCCTCATTTTCTATATGAGAAAACTAAGTCACAGAGAGGTTAACTTCCTTGACCAAGATGGTGACAATGTGAGATCTGAGCAAAAGAAGTCTAATTTCAGAGTCTTCCTTTTTACCAGGCTATGAAGGAAAGCTTTATGAGGATTATTGTTTTTATTTATTTAACGGAGTTGTAAATTTAAAGTTAGAAATGATAAATGAAAATGTTCAAAAAATATGTTCACAGTTTCAGTCTTTCCGACTGACTTATTGATGGCGATTTGTTTACAGTTAACATTAAGGAGTGTGTATTTGTGCTTTTGCCATGAGTGCTAGAAGAATCCTGCTTGTGTGCAGTACACAGGCTCACATGTTCAGCCATCGGAGGTGAGGCTTAGAGCTCAGAGGAATCCTCCTCTGTCAGTTTAAGGAGTGTAGAACTTGCAGAAATCACTTCTTTATTAACTAGTTGATTTTTTTCATAATGTTCATGATTTTTATATTTATGCTTTAATATTTGCTGAAACTTTTTTTTGTGGTGTGGGAATTACTGCTAATGCATATTCTACAGAATGAATAAATGAATTAATTAATGAACATTGTTTTTTAACTCCTTCTGAAGGTGAGGGTGGTGAGATCATCTCCACCAAGTTCTCAGTTCAAAGCCACATTTCAGGAGTCTTACCAGGTCTATAAACGTTACCAGATGGTTATTCACAAGGACCCACCTGACAAACCAACTGTGAGCCAGGTCAGCAGGGCAATTGTCATTTTTCTGTGCAAACAGAACTTTCCCCTTCATTTGGTATCATGTATGAAATCTTGATTTATTTGTGGTACATTTTACTTATATTCAGTTTGCAGCTTATCTGTACAGAGATAAGACTGACTTAGTAGACATTCTGAAAGTGCAAATGGTACCCAGTGTCATGTCAAGTGCCAGTTATGTGTAATTTCAAAGTGGAAAGTAACATGTAAAGTTTATATAAAGTCACTACATCTGGATGCATTTACCTGAAAGTGAGAGAGTTCTAAGGTGAAATAACTGAGAAAAATATATTTCTATGTTAGACATGTGTTGTCCAACATGGTTAGTGTGCTTTATCCATATTTAAAAGTTATCTGTAGAAATAGTCATAGCTAAATTATTATGTTAATGTGCTGCCCATGCACAATTGAGTGGGGCTAGAAAACTCAGGTAGCACAGTGTTTCAATGGATGTCCTCATAACCTTATTGTAATTTTGTAAATCAAATGACCCAAGAAAAATCTGGAAGGGAAAGCAAGCTTAAACCACTTCACATAAGTGAGGGTGCAAAAGTGGTGGCCATGGCCACGATCAGCAGCAGTGCTGATTAGTGCACACAGAACTGCAGTTGACCGGTACAGAGAGAACCAGAGTGAAACAAAGACAGACTGTCCTGGCCTTTTGCGAGTTGGTCATGGCATTAGTGCACAGTCGACACTTAGGTTGGGTGCCAGTCAGCCTACTCCAGAGGATCTTGTTTTTATGAGAAATTCCAGTGCTGAGCTTTGGAAGTGGATTTGCGGAGATCTTACTCTAGCCTCACCTTCAGAAGCACATCATCAGCTGGAGGTGTTTCAATAGCATTTGCTTGTATTTTCCTTGCTCTGAAGGTGAGGTTAGTACCTGTCTCCTTTGAGGACCCAGAGTTCAAGTCGTCCTTCAGCCAGTCCTTTTCTTTATATGTCAAGTATCAAATGGCCATACACCAGGATCCGCCTGATGAATGTGGAAAGACTGAGGTACTGTTTGCTAAAACGTTTTTTCCTTTGTTGACGAGGTTGTCTGAGAAGCAGCATAATATGTATATATAACCCTCTTGTGCCATTTTCTTACCTGTTAAATTGAGGGGATCTTCCTTTCATTGTGATTTGCTTAACTGTTGTGAGAATGAGTCATACTTGTGAGCATTTTGAGTCCTTCAGAAAAAAGATTCAAGATATGTCCTCCTGCAGGGTTTTCTTGAACCTGGATGTAGGGTGCTTGTGGGTTCAGTTGTTCAGCAGACATTTGACTAAGGACCAATGTGTGCCAGATGGTGTGCCACAGAACCCAGGGAAGAATCTGTCTTCAAGGGATTGATGTTCAGCTGGGAAGGACAGACCAGGGAAGTAGGAGGGGGAGAGTGACTATATTGAGGGAGGTTATTACTTAGAGCATCACTTAACAAGCATTTATGAGGTCCTATATTTTCTAGGCCTGGGATATTTAATGAATAAGAGACCCCATGTCGCCACAGTGGGGTAGTTAGGTGTTAGAAGAAGGGTGCCAGCAGACAAAGAGGAATTAAGAATTTTGATTTTTTTTGTTTGTTCCTTTAATTGCTCTTGTTTTTTTAATGGCACAAAATGTGTAAGCTAAAGAGAGGATTAATAAGACAGGAGTGGGCCCTCCATGTTTGTTGGGGAAAGGCTGACTTTGCAGGCTCTTACAGTCTTCTGATTAAACGGTGTGATTTGTAGGTGAATAGCATCATTGTGCCCTCAAATGCAGAATCTCAGACCTCGTCATAGGTCTACTCAGTCAGAATCTGCATTTTTAAAAATGTTTATTTATTTTTTAGTTGTTGCACACAATACCTTTATTTATATGTGATGCTGAGGATCGAACCCCCAGCCTCGAACCCACAGTCTCTCACACGCTAGGCGAGCGCTCTACCACTGAGCGACATCTCCAGCCCCAGAATCTGCATTTAAAAAAATTTTTTTTTTTTAGTTGTAGATGTACACATTCTTTCATTTTATTTATTTATTTTTATGTGGTGCTGGGGATTGAACCCAGTGCCTCACATGTGGGAGACAAGCTCTCTGCCACTGAGCCACAACCCCAGCCCCTGAATCTGCATCTTAAAGGAGGTCTCCAGGTTTTAAAAGTGCTGACCTGGGTTCCCCACTGAGATGCACAGCTGGGGTCCATGCATTTTCTGGTAATAAGGATTCTGCTGAGCCTTGAAACTCCTTTTGATAGTTTCCTGGGTCTGTCTTTTTCTGAACTTTGCCTCTTCCCCCTGCTCTGGAAACTGAGGCTTTGTACCTGCCTCCTTACCATTCTCCACGTGGTGTAGTATGTTCACCCTGAGTCTTTCCCTCAACCTTTCCCTGACAGCTTCACTGTCTGTGCAGGTCAATGCAGACCTACTTACTGCAGTGGTCCAGGCATTGGAAGTCTAGTTGCAGGGACAGGTAAGAAGTTCCCACATTGTTGGAATTAGGATTGGGTTCATAGGGAGAGCCAGCTTGGTGTAGGACTGGAGGTTAGAGAGTTTTTTTTTTTTTTTTTTGAGAGAGGTACTCGCTGAACCAAACCTGCACAGATGAGGAAGTGTTTGTAGGTCCAAAGAGACAAGAGCATTGTGGGCAACAGGACTAGGATGTGTGGAGCTGTGCATGTCAAAATCCTGTGCTGTGCTTGAGAAACCATTTGAGTTAGTATGGCCAGAGTATTGGGTTTGTGTTATGTGATAGCAGAGGCTTTTGGAGATTTAAGTAAGACCCACATTTTTAAAAAAAATATTATTTGGGATATACATAAAACTCTTAAGTACCTATCTTCAATAGTTCTCAACATGCTGCCATTTTAATTTTGTATCTCTCCATAGTTTTTTGTTGTTGCTTTGCTGGGTTATTTTATACCAAGTCTTAGATATAATTTGATCTGTATTTCAGTAGGTATCTCAACTTATTGCCAAAGTGGAACATTCAGGTATGTGCCTCCTAATGGAGTCCAATGCGTATAAAGCACTGCCTAAGGAACATTCTTGCTAAAGAAATGGAAACTGGATCTGTTTTTTTTTTTTTTTTTTAAAGAGAGAGAGAGAGAGGGAGAGAGGGAGAATTTTTTTAATACTTATTTTTTAGTTTTCGGCAGACACAACATCTTTGTTTGTATGTGGTGCTGAGGATCGAACCCGGGCCGCATGCATGCCAGGTGAGCGCACTACCTCTTGAGCCACGTCCCCAGCCCTGGAATCTGGATCTGTACAAGCTTCTAGATCTAATTACCAGTTCACCAGAAAGATAAGGGCTAAAACAACACTTGGGTAATTTGTATGGTAAATAACCTAGTTTATTTTAATAAATAAACACTATTTCAAAGAAAAGAAGGAACTCTGTTCTTGATTAAAAGTTAGAAACTTGGGGCTGGGTATGTGGCTCAAGCGGTAACACGCTCGCCTGGCATGCGTGGGGCACTGGGTTCGATCCTTGGCACCACATAAAAATAAAATAAAGATGTTGTGTCCACCGAAAACTAAAAAATAAATATTAAAAAAAATTCTCTCTCTCTCTCTAGGAAAAAAAAAAGAAACTTAAAAAAAGAAAGTATCTACAATACCACCCTCACACTCAGCAAAATGCACAAGAATTATATCATGTAATGCCTAGTACATATTCAGTTTTCTCTAGTTATTTCAAAAAAATGCCTTTTTATATTTGGTTTGTTTGACTCAGGATTTCTTTTGATACTCTTATAAGTATTAGAACAAATTTTTCTTTTTGAAAATCACATTTTCTTTAAGAAATTAGCTCATTTATCTTAGAATTAATTTTGCTTCTTTTTATTGATTATTTTTGAAAATGCAAGCAAAAAGTGCCATGAATGTGATATTTATGGGTGTATTTGTATGTGTGTGATCTCTCTCTTTGGATGTATGGGAAGTGCATATATGTGAGTATGTAAGTATGTGCATCACACATGCATATTTATATTATATATGCATATTTATGTCACGTACCATGTTACACACTTACATGCACACATACACACATTTCCCTCTCTTTCTTAGATGTAATGTTCCAGACACAACTCTGTATGCCACACTTACTGTTTGTATCCTGAAGGTCATTCCGTAGTAGTATGTGGAGAAGTTTTTTCATCCCATTCTGTAGCTGCGTGGTACGCTTCATGAAAGTACCATAGTTCTTTCAAATAGAGCTTTATTGATGGCCATTTATTATTTCTAGTCCTTTGCTGTTACACAGTGTTGCAGTAAGTACCCTTATGCATAGAATTTTTGTGTTTTCATTAGTTCGTCTTTGTTATAGGTTTCACCCAAATTGCTGGGTCACAGCTAGCCTCCTCTTCAGAGGGGTTCCCTTCCTTAGGAGCTGTCCAGTTAGCATCACTCTAGCAGTTCATGAGAATGCCTGTTCCTCCATGGCCATGCTCATGGAATAGTAGGCAAACGTTTTGGGTTTGGATTTTTGCCATATAGACGGATATGAAATTTCTGTGTTGGTTTAATTTATATCCTTTTATTATAAGTGTAGTTGAGCATAATTTCATAGGTTTAAAGGCCATTAGTGTTTTTTTTTCCCCTATAAAACATTTGATCAGATTTTTGCTCATTTTTTTTGAGGGGTACTGGGAATTCTTTACATATGTTTTGTTTTTTCACTTTTTTTTTTTTTTTTACTTTGCTTATGGTGTTTTCTCATGCAAAAGTTGATTTTTATGTTATCACATAATCTATGGGCCAAAATTGGTAGAGTTTATTGGTAAATAAGGTCTTTGGACTCTAATGTTAATGTGATAGGGAATTATTTAAGGATTTTAAATAAGGGAGGTATAAATTCTGTGTACTTGTTAAGAAACTTTATGGGCAAGAGAAACTGAAGTTGAACTGATTTTTTTTTTTCTTTTTTGCAGTGCTAGGGATCGAACCCAGAATGTTGGTATATCCAGGCAAGTGCTCCACCGCTGAGCAGCATCCCCTGTCCTGTGAACTAATTTTTTACTTGCATATGTAATTCAGAACTTCTGGCCTTATTTGATCCTTGGTGTATCTTTTCTCTGTAATGGTTTCTCTCAGGCAGGCATGTGATAGTAGAGGTGAATGCTGTCACTTTAGGTCTCATGTTCTCACAGTGATCTAAGTAAAAATTAATTCATGATTCCTTCCTGTTGGTTTCAGTTAAAAGTCCCAAGGCAGGTGCTGATTGGCACATCTTCAGATATATCCTTATCTCCGAGACTGAGCAAGTTCACAGTGGCTGGGACTATGAGAAATTTATCATGCTTGGGTCACACACCCCTCTCAGAAGTTTAGGTGGAGGAGGATCTCATGATCTACATGTCTTGAAAAGAGTAAAGAGGGGGTTTTACCATGTTGGACATTCCAAAATCCTACCTGGTATTGAGGAGCACCTGGGTGGCAGGGTTGTGTGGGAGGTTTTTATTCCAGCGTGCACAGACTTGAAGCAGAGCCTAGGGGATTGGATGGATTTATGCATTTTGTTTTAATGCCATTTTCCCTGTGTGTCCCTGTCTTTTTGTTCTTTTTTTTTTTTCCTTTTGCAATAAATGACTATTTTCTAGTGTAACAGTTTATTTTATTTATTTTAATTCCTTTATGATTTACACATGTGTTACATTTATATTTTACATATATGTATTGGTTTTGGCAATGTTGGGGATTGAACCCAGGACCTCATGCATGCTAGGCAAGTGCTTTATCACTGAGATACACCTAGTTATTATATATTTTAACAGTATTTTCTTGGTAGCTACTCTAGGGCTTCCCATATAGATCTTCATTTTATAGGGTCTATTTAAGATTTTTGCTAAAGTCATTCCAAAGATAATAAGTTACTATTACTTCTGTTTAAAACTATTCCCTTTTTCCCTTATTGTGCTATTATTCATAAGCATATTATATATCACAAATTTAATCATATTATTTAATTTTATGTTTTGTATAGAGCTGAGAAAAGGGACAAGAATAAGTAATTATTTCTAATTTGTCATAGTAACTTTCTTATTTATCATTTCTGGCTTTCTTCGTTTGTCCTGTGGATTTAGGTTGCCTTCTAATTTCATTTTCTTTACTCCAGTATAGCTTTGCTCCTGTCCATCTTTTTTTGATGATGTTGTCAAATATAGTAATTTTCTAAGTTATTGTCACAGTAGTATACGTATGTAAATATTGTTGCTTTTAAATTAGTGATGAGAAGAAGGAAAGTATGCATTTATATATGAGAAGCCCCTGCTGTCACTCCCTGGAGGGCTCAGTCCTAGGCATGTTCAGTCCCCTGGGATGACAGTGTCTTGGTAGTGTGTTGTCTCCTCTCTGATCTCTCTAAATGTTTACAGAGATAACTACTTCTCTAAATACTTCTGTTGGCAGCTGTTTTAGTCAGATTTTTTTGTTGCTGTGACCAGAAGCCCTGACAAGAACAATTAGAGGAGGAACAGTTTATTTTGGGGCTCACAGTTTTCAGAGGTCTCAGTCCATAGAAGGCTGGCTCCATTCCTTGGGGTTCAAGGCAGGCAGAACATTGTGATGGAAGAGCATGATGGAGGACAGTGGTCAGGGTGTGGCCACCAGGAAGCAGGGAGAGCGAAACTGCCCCTTACCACAGACAAACATTATAGCCCCCAAAGCATACCCCAGGTGACCCGACTCCCCAGGCCACACCTTACCTGCCTGCCATGTCAATCCCTGTCAGGGGATTAACACATGGATTAGGTTAAACCTCTTACAACCCAGTCTTTCCAGCTCTAAACTTCCTTGCGTTGTCTCACACAAGAGCTTTTGGGGGTGTCCAAGCTTTGATGGCATAGTCAACTTTTGGTCTCCACTGGTTGCTGTATTGTTTTCAGCAGTGCCCTGGGGATAAATTGCTCTATAGTCTGATGTAATTAAATTTGGACTGCATTGCCAGGCAGTGTTTGAGACCAGTCTTTGAGGTTTGCCCTGATACTAGATAGAGGGCTCTTGACTGTCTTTTTTTCCTGGTTCTCTCTCATAAACCAACACAGCTGTTCAGCTGCTGCTCACTTGGAACCGCTGGCCTTCTTTTACTTGCTTGCCACCCAGATCTGAGTTTCCAAGAGTGCCCTTAGGCTTGAGCTTCCCTGTATTCCATTCTGAATAGTCACTTCCCACAGGTTGAGCTGAACGGCCACCCCGCTTACAAAATTTTTTCACCACTATTCTGTTCTCTGAGTGTCATCTCTGCTTTATGAGCAGAGCACGGTTAGAACCAGTATCTTTAGTCTTTTCTAGGTAAGGGGATGAAGTTTGGGCTTCTTAACCTTTAGACTTAGCAAGTTGCTCTAGATAGCTCTGGGTGAGGAGATAGCCACACAGTGGATGAGATTCTTTGTTCATCTTAGCAATTCTTAGCATACCAGGCAGGCCACGGTTGCAGATGGAGTTGGCACACTGCCTGTGGGTCCAGCCTGCTGGGCAGAATGGGCTCGGCCATCCTACTTTGCTTCCCAGTTTTGAAGTATGTTTCGTATAGAAAAAAGCTATTTTGAACATGGAGTGCAAAAGTACTTTCCCTTTGTACATGATTATAGTTTTCTATATGAGCAAATAGCCAGTATTTTGTGTTTAGGAAGCATAAAGAGAAGCCAAAAAGTTAGTCTTTAAAATGTATTCCTTTTTCCTGACTCATTTTAAGGGATTCTGTGCAGCAACACACTATGGTGTGGTTTGGTTAATATAATGGGAAACTATTCAAGAAAATATATTTTTTGCTTTTTTATTTTTTTGTAAAGCACCTTAAGTAAATAACAGTTTGTATGCCAACTGGAGACTTCTATATTAGTGTGTAAAATTCATTTTGAGTCTGTTAGTAACTCATCATCACTTAAACAACCCTAGAAGTAGGTTATTTTTTGAGAAGTTTGTTGAAAAAATAAATAAATATAGATTGCTTGATATCCCAAAATAGCCAAGTCATGTTTTTTTTTTTTTAAGAATTTTTTTTAATATTTATTTTTTAGTTTTAGGTGGACACAGTATCTTTATTTTACATTTATGTGGAGCTGAGGATCGAACCCAGTGCCTCATGCATGCTAGGGGAGCACCCTACCACTGAGCCACAATCCCAGCCCCACCAAGTCAGTTTTTTAGTAACATCTTTAGATAAGTAGCACATTATTGCACATAGCAAGATTACATAGGATCTACAAATTAG